GCAACGTTCAGACACTGTACGCCCCCCCAATCACCGATACTGGCACCATCCAACCACCGATTACGGCACCTCCAACACCCGTTCTCCCCACCAACCACCGATACGGCACTCCCAACCCCGTTCTCCCCCCCCTCCCAAACACCGTACGGCAACTTCAACACTGTACGCCCCCACCCCAATCACCGTACGGCACCTCCAACCACATTACGGCCACTCCAACACCCGTTCCTCCCCCCCACTAACCACGTACGGCACTCTCAACACCCGTTCTGCCCCACCAACCACCGTACGCACCTCCACCCCCGTTTCTCCCCCCCCCCCGCAAACACCGTACGGCAACTTCAACCACTGTACGCCCCCACCCCCAATCACCGTACCGCACTCCAACCACATTACACGCACTCCAACCCCTTCCCCCCCAACCACCGTACGGCACCTCCAACACCCGTTCCCCCCCAACCACCGTACGGCACCTCCAACCCCCCTTCCCCCCCACCACCGTACGGCACCTCCAACCCCGTTGCCCCCCCCAACACCGTACGGCACCTCCAACACGCTTCCCCCCCCCAACCACCGTACGGCACCTCCAACACCCGTTACCCCCCCACACCACCGTACGCACTCTCAACCCCGTTTCCCCCCCCCCAACCACCCTACGGCACTCCAACCCCCGTTCTCCCCCCCCCTCCAAACATCCGTACGGCAACTTCACACTGTAACGCCCCACCTCCCAATCACCGTACGGCACCTCCAACACATTACGGCACTTCCAACACCCGTTTCTCCCCACCAACCACCGTACGGCCACCTCCAACCCCGTTGCCCCCCCCCACCGTGCGGCACCTCCAACCCCCGTTCGCCATAATATATCCTACTTTCTTGCTCCCTCTCTCAAAATACAAGCACACTGTTTAAGAGAACGAGATGGGATGTAATAAAAACATTTATATAGATTACATTCTTGCGTAGCATGTCGCTGGCAAGCAAGCGCAGTGCACGGACGCAAATATACACTTCTGAAACGTACACAGAGTCGAGCTGATCTTGGCAGACTGGCCGATACCAGGGTGGTAATATCACTAAGCCAACGCTTGTGTATTTCAGCACGCGCCAGTTGCACCAGCTGCCGCAGTTCAGCATGCGTAGCTCTAACTAACCGAGCCTGCTTCCGCCTCTAAAAAGTCCCGGCATTTTCTCCCGTATACGCGCGCGACACAAAATATAAACTAAAACGCCCGACCAGACTGCGTTCCAGCCGAGCCACAGGAAGTTGTGCACCAATACAAGAGAGAAAGAGAGAGAGAGAGAGAGAAAGAGCGAGAGAGAGAGAGAGAGAATGAGGATGAGGAGGAGGAGGTGTGTGTGCGTGTGCGTGTGCGTGTGCGTGCGTGTATGTGTGCGCGTGCAAGCATGTGACATAGAGAAGAAAAGAGAAAGAAAGAGCGATAGAGAAAGAGAATGATGGAGGAAGAAGAAATAGACAGAAAGCGAAAGAGAGAGAGAGAGGGAGAGAGATAAAGATAAAGAGATTGAGGGAGAAGGGGACAGGGAAGGAGAGAGAGCAAGACAAATTAAAGTGTCAATGACACTTTAGCTCACCACAAAAAAAGGACACAAATGAGTGAGTAAGAAGAAGTCAGTTTTAATTGAGCAACCATCGACGTACATTATAGAAACGATTGCCATCTGTATATCGCATTAATAATTTATAAACCAAAATGAATCACAATTTGTGAGCGTAGATGGCGCTATACCCGCTTTGTAGTGATGGCGCTTGAAATAAATAGGTTATGCTGCGTTCTGACATGTTTTGTAAATCTTTACTCTAATATAGACGTTTTATCGGCAGAGTGGAGAGGAAATACCAATTTTGCATTAAAGATATTGTCAATGAAATCTTGTAAAACGAACCAGACAAGTGTGACACCACAGACTGTTTGTGTTTATATATTATGCTATATAATTGCCAAACCCTACCTAATTTGCATAATTTTTTTTTAAATATCAAAACCCCTAGCCCTTATTCATTCACATACCAAAAATGAGCAAAATCAGTTGAACCTAAACTGAGTAATGGCAATTCCCATTTTTGCCAAAAAATTGCCGTGGCTCGAAAGTACGTCGACTGGCGTGCTTCAAAATAGGACGTTCCATATGGGAGCATAGCAGTAACAACTACACCCAAGTTCAAACATGTGGGTCAAACGGTTCCTGAGTTATCGTTGACCGAAACCAAATGTTGACGGACGGACGGACGGACGTACGACGATCCATGGCAATAGCTCAACTTGACGATGTCAAGGTGAGCTAAAAATGAGAGAGGGCGAAAGAAGGAGGGAAGAGACAGACAGACAGGCAGAGAGAGAGGGGGAGAGATAGAGAACTGCATAGACATGCACACCATGCACCATTACACCCGATTACTTTTACGAATTTTGCACACATGACCAATTTCACGCATCCTATTGCCACCTCTACCACGTTGTTGATGACAGGACTGCAGCCTAACCATGCCCCAATTTTGTCAAAATTTCGTCACTCGAATGAGCGGTGGCAAGGGAATACGTTCAAAGAAAGAAACCACATGCAGAATACGACTGATTAGGCAGAACGAATCATCTTGTTCCAGTATCTAATCAATCTATTTTAGCAATAGTTAGTTACATTTATTATGCATATTATGCTATTTTGCCTTCAAATCCAGGGGGACAACTGCGTCCTTTGCCTGCTTTTCATGGCATGGCCTTAAATGAGCTCATGAATTTAGACAATATGTTTGTTTCCCACCGAACTGGCCAAAAAGATAAACATAACAGGGACAAGGTTATTGTCTTCATTGCTAGCATAGCTGGCAATTGATGTTAACAATGTTAACAATGTTATGTAATTGGCAATGTTTGCATTTACATACGATCGTCGTAAATGAAATGAGTTATTCAACTTGCAAACGCAACTATTTCCTTGATCTTTAGTTTTTAATGGTGATGTATTTTTGGCAGCGTGTAACGGCAGTGGCGGCAGCAGCAATTAATGCATTACCTTGCAGGACAACAGATAGTTGCTTGGAGATTATCACATCACACACATGCACGGCAGCCTTCAGACACTGTCGCACGTACGTCAACCATTGACTGGCCTCCAAATTACTAAGCCATCGTTCATCTTGGCTCCAAAACTGCTTCACCGATTCTGTCAACAAGTTAGTAACACAGCCAGGGGTTATTTTGCTACGTAATGGTGGGGTAGACTAGCCACCTTTTCAGATCCTACCCATACCTAAAATTCTTCACAGAAATCCAATATTTGTATTTGCTCTTATTTATGAAATTCGTATTTTTATTGAATAAAATAATATCCTCAAAGTGAGGCTAGAAATGCATCCTGCTAGATCCAAATATGAAAGATTGCACAGACCCTGAGTGGGCCTTAAAACCCACCCTCAAAATTCAATTCACTCAAAGGCCATCTTCCCGTTCAAAAAAACTCGGACAACATTCTTATTACCTACCACCTTGTGGAAGCGATCTATTGATAACTGATCATCAACGATGAAATTATTAAAAATTCCAGTTCACAACCACACAGCATATCATTGGGTATAGATATTTGGCTACACTGTTACAAGGAAAACACACTGGCTGCTGTATCAATATGTTAATTTATTAATATATAAATAAATATATATTACAATGAGTGCATATCATTAGAGTGTAAAACGTACCTGGCATGCACAGTTCCCTAAGTTTATAATAGCTGTCTTGTATTTCCCTCACTGTGGGGCAGCACCTGTGTAGTTCATGAACTTGAGCACGTTTGTTTTTCGGATGTGTCGATCTCACTTCTCGTAAGATACTGCTCAGAAATTAGAAAAACCAGAATTAACACCGTACTAAGAACCAACTAATTACCTCAATAAACTAAGAAACAATAAATAATTTGATAATATAAACATATAATAAATACACATAAAAGGAACATTTGCAATTGATATTTCACTAACTAACAACCCTAGATCGTAGATTCTTTACACTAAGTGCGATCAGAAGGTGGATATATGTTTCCATGACAAAGACTGATCGCGTGATGTCAGTGTACGTCAGTGTGACGTCAGACCACCACCGTCCCATAGAAATAATATAGATAACCATATTATTATATTATCTATATTATATATTAGTTATATATTAGTTATATTAGCTATTATATTATAGTTATCTATATTATTTCTATGGTCCATCCAGACCGTGTGACACCATAGATAGTGTTTGGGATACTATAGACAGTATATAAGTCGATCCGAGTCGATTTATAGTTAGTGTTAGGGTTCGGGTTGGGATTAGGGTTAGCGTTAGGGTTAGTGTTAGGGTTAGGGTTAACGCTTTTGCATCATTCTTTGATATACGGAAAGTCTGATGCACGCGCAACCACCAGCACCATCAGCAGGCTGTATGCATACATGCATTCAACATCGGAGATAGCCGGGTTCGTGCGTGACGTACACTGACGTCACGCGATCAGTCTTTGTCATGGAAAAATATGCCCACCCGATCGGAATACTAATATTATATTATTATCATGATGTACACATATAATTAATCTGCAAGACTAGACTTATCTGACAATACCTGTTTAGCTGACTCTCTGATTCAGGTGTTTCCACCTGTAGTGTAGACATTCTTAGCAATGAGATATCCTTGGCACTAGTCCATGACCATACCTGCCATGAGTTAAAAGACACACCTCACACTGGAATGAAAGCCTTTCACAAACCCATTTCCTAATCCTACTATGTGAAAACCACTGCATTTACTCACAAAATACACAGGGACTTAGCCAATACGTTCACACAGACAAATGCCACTCTGCTAACTGTTGTACAGTTGTGCTGATGGCTATATGTCCTTCTATTAGGCACTTATTGGTACGAGTCTTCTCTCTGTGCCAAATACTTGTACTCGCTGCTCCATGTTTCTTACTTGGGACACAGGTTTTTACTTACTAACCAATGGTTCTTACTTATAACATGGGCTATTACTTACTGTCACACACCATTACAATGCTTGACTCCAGTTGTGACCCAGCATTATGAGACATAGTCGGTTTCTGACACAATTTAGCACACACTCCATCAAATATTTGCATACTCCCATTAAAAGTAGAACTTGCTAACAAATGTTTGAAATTATTCAAACAACGTTGTGCTTACCAGTACTCGTTTCTGATTGAAATTCGCTGCCACACATCGGAGCAAGTCGTCTGACACAGTGGCAGGAACCACAAAGTGTGCGGGGAGACTGGAGCAACAACAAGTCAATAATACTTCACTTCAGTACAACCAAGAGCTTAGTTAGCCACTGTCCAGGAAACATAGCAAACTCATGTCGAAGGAAACAGGAATGAACCACGAGTAGAGTTAGGAAAGCAATATGATTCAAATACGTCACCAAATATGGTTTGCTTGATTTAATAATATTTGCTTAATTTCGTACCTTTCAGATATCCGAAACGCTTCGTTACATGAAGCAACCCTCCACTTAACTTTCGTGGGCACATTTGCTAATTCCTTGCTCCAGTCTGTAGCAACTCTGTAGAGTGGAAGGGAGGTAAATGCTGCAACAGTAAATGGAATATAAATCACTCCACAATCTGCTATAATAGGCATAAGCTCAAGAAGCCTGCTAGAATAAAGCACACAAAGGATTCAAGACATTGAAAAAATTAGTTAGTGCCAAAAGACACCCCTTAATAAAGTGTCAAAATGTTTATTCTTATACAATAACCAATGGGTTAAGAATTACACAGTTTAAAGGCGCCAAACCAAAAAAACAGTTCCAAAGTTTGAAGGTTAATGAACTCATGCTTAAATAATCAAGATCACCATTACAACACAGATATAATGAATGGTCATCAGTTGCTCCATCACTTACGAGCAATACGCTTGCGAAAGTCAAAGCCAAACAGAAGCGCGACTCGGGCTGGGAATGCATAGTGCAGGATTGTGTTCACTATCTGCAAAGCACACACAAAGGCAGTGTTTAAATTTTTACCCAATTCATGAACAACTGCACCACTAGTATTCATTAAAAAACAGGGTTAGCAGTGAACTACGAATTTTGTCCAATTGCCCTTTGTCCATCAAACAATTTTACATGGAAACTAACTAAATATCTAGAACTGTGAATAAGTGAGGCTGGAGATGTAAGACCTTATTGCCGAAGGCATAGTTATAAGAAATATCCATGCCAATAAGGGCCTCTGACTAAAGAGTACAAACAAACCTTGGCGACAAGAATGGTTAATACTCACAGCTCTTGACTGATTCTCTTTGTTTCTACAGAGCTTGAAGCTGAAGGTAACGATGCGAAAATCCTGTCAATGAAAAAGAAACTATTAAAACTCAACGTCAATATATTACTCACTTTAAGAAATTAAGGAATTATGAATCCTAATATACAATCATGAATGATTCATACAGCTATGAAAATCCAAAGTGCTTAAATACAAAGTTCAACCTAGCTTTATTTGTAAATTTCACAAACTCCTAAAAGACGGGAAATTACTGTATCGCAGGAACAGTGCAGACTATTACCAGAAATGTATTATTAAGATCAAATGAGAAATATTACATAAGCTTTTTTTATAAATTTTTCTACGATCGATTACAACATGCATGATGGACCAACCCACCTTTTTATCTATGACGATGGCAGTAATGCAAATTGCAAGTTTTATACTCCATTTACAAAACTGTATCTAGCCGGAGTGCAAGAATATGTCACGTAATCAGGAGTCTATCAATATTGATAGACTCCTGACGTAATGAATGACAGTACTTGATTTTTATGCCAAAATCTTGCAAAAATTTTTGCTTATCGTTGTTAGCCAGATACAGAGACAATTTACCAAAGCTAAATTGGATACATACCATACATGTAATAACTCACAGCATATAGAAACTGCATATCAAAAACTTCATCATTTAGAAGTTCATTGCTGCCATCCTACTGTGACATCTCATACATTACAAGCAAATTGTTATCATGCAACAACAGTCAGGATACCTTGCAATGTAACTGGATTGCTTCGACAGAGCTGTAGACACTAGATCCAGGAGCTAGTCTGCGCAACTTGCCACCAGTTACTAGAAGCACAACACAAACATCATAAAACCTCACAAAGTTTTGTTAGTTTCCACCATGCAGGTAGCAGTCAAACATCATCGACAAAACACATCTGGCACGTATACTTTCGGACAATAGCTTCCATACTTAATGTCTCATTCTGTTTTTATATTGACACCGCTGGTACTGTTTCATGACAAGGTTATTAACCCAGTACCTAGAATATGAGATTTGTGCAGCACAAGCTTAACAGAATTAAGTCCTGAACAGCAACAGTAGACAATGCTAGGTCGTACCTTGAAAAACACTTTCCACGTTTGTGAGTGCAATATCATCATTTCCAACAAGGTTATTCTGCTGTCCTTGATAGGTCTGTAACCAGAACAGCTTAATAAGATGCTGACACACAATTCCAGTGCTGATTGTAAAACACAAAGAGAAAATCGATTAGCAACAGCTTAGTAAAGCCACAGTTAAGGCATATTGCTGCTAAACTTCACTGTAAAAAACCAACCGCATGTTGCTCTGTTGATCCTGCGGTCATAAAGCTGACTTTGAAATTTGTGATAACCAGTACACCAGTAGAACCACTTCCTCCTGCATGACCAGCCAGTGGATTAAACCTGAGCACACAGTGTGCCTTAGCAATCTCTATCTCTCCTATAGAAAAAAAAAAGATTAAATAAAAAAATACCATGTGAAATATAGGTTTAATAGATAGGAAAATGAACAATGTAGTTTCAAAACTTATTACTGGTTTCAGCCTTTACCCAACTTAGGGATATTGAATATATGGATAGGTGAGGGAGTAATACATGGTTATAAGGGGCCGAGTATCATTCAGTAATATTACCAGCAGGTTTAGCTAGGTTACTGGATATGTGCCTACTATGTTGAATCTATTTTAAATGTCTGTCAATATAGATTTCTTAGTATTTTATGCAATTGGTTATTTTCCAGAATGTTGCTTCGTAGTTTTATCTTAAAATTAGAAAATTCACACTTGTTGGCAATTACCGTGAATTTGTTTTTATAGTTGATCGAGTTTGTTGGATACCATTAAAATAATGTATAACAAGAAGCCATGTGTGATTCAACCTTAATCAAAATATAATAAAAACCTCAACCCTAAGCTCAACATTAAAGAACTAAATAGTATTCAAACATACCATCATAACATTTCACAGAATCTATTCTTACCTGGTAAAAGTTTTGGATCTGGAATACCAGTGCTGCCAATGGGTTCGTACAATTCTTCAATCTGTGAAATAGATATATAGAAGTTACTTAAAAACAAGAGGAAGTAAATAGAGCAAAAGCTTAAGAGAGAGTAACAGTATTAAAATGTGTTATGCTCATCCTGAAAAAAAAATGTACAAACTCAATATAAGGAGGAATATGTGTTTGCATTAAATTTTTACCAACAGCCAAGTCCATATAAAATAAGATGGGACACTTGACCGAAATATTGGGTAAATTGCAATAGTAGCATTGACCACCGGCTGGTGATGCATTGAGAGCTGTTAATTGGCAATGCGCATTGTAAACATGCAATGGCACATCGATTGTCTGCAAAGAAAATTGTCAGTCCAACGTGTTTTTTAATAAAATGCAGTGCTCAATAACCGCAGAAAGAGCATCAGCAAGCATGATGTGCACGCTAGTTATATCGTCCAAAAGTATTACAGGGTTTCTTCTGAGAGAAAATTAGACAAAGGAGGTAATGGCCAGTTTGATAAAAAAACGCGCATGATGGATTCAAAGGCGTGCCTTAAGCACGTGTGACCAAGTGTCCACCGACTATGGCTATAATCTAAATATGCCAGAAGCACGTGGTGATCTATTTATTTTTTGGGTTGACACTATTTTGACAACGACGGGTATTTTGACCCTGTATTAGTAGGACAGAGAAGGCGAGGGGCTTCTCCCCTAAGCCCAACCAGGAAGTGTTTACCGCACTACGCAGTTATAGAATCATTGTGCTAAAAGTTATGAACATGACGCCATAATAAAAATATTGTTTGTTCGCCCTCACTTGACCGACCTGCCAAAAAGGGGCCGACTCAACAAATTTCATTGATTTTTCCCATTCTTTTTTTTTTACAAATTGTATTACTGTACATTATATAAATCTGTAGGTAATACATTATATGTACCAAGGAAAACAAACATTCAACATATAAGGTATCTCCACACAAGCACACCGGAGCATGTAGACACCATGCTGAATTCGCAGTGCTCGAAATAAGCGTTGTCCGGTTGTCCGAGACAACCAGAATTTGTGCCGGACAACCTAACCAGTCTGAAGACATATGTCCGTGTGGACATCCAAGAAAAAAGTTTGTACGAAAAAACGCAACTTTATTTTATGTTTTCCTCAGCTGGCTTTCTCCAAGAGCACTTATAGCTCTGATGGACCCGCCATTAATCTATGGCGTGTGGGGAAAGCGACGCATCACAGCTGCTTATTTCAACACTGCGTATTGTCAGGCGTTTTCTGATTTATGAAGAGGTGAACGTCGCATTGTGGAACCAGGCCAAACCAGCAAGTTCACCCTACATTTTGGATATTTTTTATTCCATTATTATTTTTGTAATTTTCGAATGGCTTATGCCGATTGCCCAAAACAAACAACTGCAGTGCGGATTCATGTGGATCCGAAAGTTAAAAAAAAGCAGATTTGTCGTATGTCAGTAATGGATAGGCTGCATACATGAATTCAAAAGTGCTGCAAATACCATACTCCTGCGATCGTACATTATTCAAAATTTTCTGGGGGGGACCCCATACCCCCCCGCTTGTTTTTCACCCCCCTCCTTTGCGAATCCCAGACCGCCACTGAACAATTTACATTATCTTGGGAGCAGAGAACAATGAACAAAATGTCGCCTTTTCACATGGGCACCCAAAACAAAAGATTTTGCAGAGAGAGGATAGAGGAAGCCGTAGTGGTTGTGGAGAGGGAGGCACGGAGAGCCATTAAAAGTATTAAGTCATCCACTATTTTGCCCGCAGTTTGCTTTTTTGGGCCACCCTTGTTAAAAAATCCTGGCTACACCATCTTTTTGGGCTTTTCTGACCATATTCATTATGTGATTGAAAATCATGAGATACTTTGGGATATGTTTTGGGGGACAACAGAAATTGTGTTGCGGACAACCTTCGGCATTATGATTGCCTGGGTTGTGCGCAGCGACACCAGTCATGTTTTTATCTTATTTCGAGCACTGATTCGTTTAAAAGACCCCTCCCTAAAAAAACTATCTCTACCTACCCTAATACTTTTCAGCCGTTGGCGTTCTGGGTATAAGGGCAAACGAACGATTATTTTTAAATTGTGGCTATGAGTGAAGAACTGTGCAGGCAGACTGGTCTGATATATCACAATCAATATCGTATCAACTATCTATTGGTCTTAGACTCACAGGTCATGACATGTCATTGAATCAAGCTGTTCCAACAATTAAACAATTGTAACGTCGATTTAGCGAAAATTGATAATCTCTTGTTCCCAATGAGCTGTTTGCACATGCATTGCCATTGTTGTATAACGTTGATAAGGAACATATAGGTTACAAAAATTATTTTAGAATAGTTTCCTATTTTCAGGCTTAACCTTACTTGCCTACTAACATTTAATAAATACCAATCACATCCATAGATAAGTGCTTCGATAGCATGCATGGGTCGAAATAAAGCAATAGTCCGATGGTCCTCAGCGCCATCAAATAATCACGGAGAAGCCATCAGATTTTCCTAGAAAAAAATCGCATCTTTATTTATGGTTTTCCATCAGTGGTTTCTCTAGAGCACTTGATAGGCCTGTTATGGCGCCGCCATTAATCTACTGGTGTTTCGGCGAAGCGACGCCATACCAGCGCTGCTTATTCCAACACTTAGGTATATGTCAGGCTTTTCTTGATTTTATGAGAAGGTTTGAACTCGCATCTTGTGAACCAGCATTATCCTGCCAGTTTCACCGTACATTTTGGTTTTATTTTTTTTAATTCATTATTTTCATTCTCTGAATTTTCGTCTCTTCTCGTATGGCTTTGTGCCACATGTCAAATACATATACCAACATGGCATTGGTGGGGATTCTATATGTTGACTTCTCTCGTATATATAAGCTTAAAAAAGAGGTAGATTATTGTTCGTAGTCAGATATGAAGGCTTTACATGTACGTCAATAAGTATGGCTGCACAATACGCATCTCCTCCCGATCTACTTTTCAATATTATTTTTCTATTGGGGGTGAGGCTACTCCCATCGGCCTCCTTTCCGCTTTTGTCATCTTATTGATTCTCCATTTCATGTTTTTTCACCATCTCCACCTTGGTGGATAAATCCCAGATTCCCTGTCATTACTGAACCAGATTACATTATTCTTTTGGGAGCATTAGGTAGAATCAATGACAACAAATAATCGTCTATTTCCTACCTGTCATTTCTCACTGCTCTGCCTTTTTTCACATGTGCATTTCTCCCAAAACAGAAAGCATTCGCCATGATTTGAATCTTGCGTTGCTTTCAGATTGAGCCTGTCTCTGGTTATGTGGTTTGTTGAGAAAGGGAGGGGACTGGAGGAGCATTTAAATATTAAGTCATTCCACTATTTCGCTCAGTTTGCTGCTTTTTGGCCACCGCTTGTTTAAAAAAATCGCTGGCCCTAGCACCACTGTTTTTGGGTGTTTTCTGACCATATTATTATGTGATTGAAAATAGGAGATTTGGGGATATTTTTTGGGGACAACCAGAAATTGTTGCGGACAACCCGATTTGATGCCTGGGTTGTCCGCAGGACAACCACATTTTTTTTCTTATTTCGAGCACTGATTCGTAAAAAGACCCCCCCTAAAAAAAGCCTACCTACCTACCCAAACTTTTCAGCCTGGGTCGGGTAAGGGCAAACAACGATTTTTTTAATTGTGGCATGAGTAAGAACTGTGCAGGCAGACTGGTCTAATATCACAATCAATATCGATATCAACTATCATTGGTCTAGACTACAGGTCATGACATTGGTCATTGACAGCTTCCAACATTAAACATTTTATCGCATTTAGGAAAATTATAATCTCTTGTTCCCAACGAGCTGTTGCACATGCATGCATGTGATAAGTTGATAACGGTAACAACAAAAATATTTAGAATAGTTTCCAATTTCAGGCTAACCACTTGCACAACATTTAATAAATAGCCAATCACATCCATAGATAATGTTTTCATTAGCATGCAGGGGTCGAAATAAGCGATAGTCCGATGGTCCAGGGCCATCAAATAATCAGGAGAACCATCAGATTTTCATAGTCAATGGTCCTACGGACCATTGAATATTTTGGTCCCATTTTACGAAATTTTCTTCGTTTCCACGTTTCGATTATTGCTAATCCAGTGTTGACCATAGCAAATATTTGGCATGATGTAACAATGATAACAATTTGAAATTTAGGAGGACCATCTAAATTTCAAACTAGATGGTCCTGTGGTCCATCTCTTTTTTCTCTCCTTATTTCTACTCCTGGCATGTAACAAAAACATTTTATAACAAAAATTTGGCTGATCACCTGTCTTCGGATTGCAAAAAAGTATGTCAAGCATACCATTTTAATTGATCCGCGAAATTCGGTTTCATAAGATCTGGGGCACTTATTGTGCAAGGCTGCCCAGCATGAAGAAAATATTTGACTATCCTTACTAAAGGACCTCTAAATGAAATGGCAAGCCCATGTATAAAAAGGAGACGAACTGTGACCTAATGCCATCAGTGTTTGCCACTGAGCAGAAAAAGCTGTAGGCCGGCAGGGCCTATAGCTCCTAAAAGCTGCAGGCCCGCCAGCAACGCTGAAGGCCCGCCAATTTTGGAGCAAATTACAGTAATAAAACAGCATATCATGTTCTTCCTTGTGTTTATTAGTCATTATCAATGTACATAATCATAATCCCTCTGTTTTTCCTTCCTCTCGTCGGATGACTGTTTATGCATCTTTGCCGGGGGCTCACAATTAAGGAAACGCCACATCATTGTTATATGTAGCTCCTTGGTAACTACGACTCTCCACTTTGACAGCAGAGAGACAGACTGGTAGTCTGGTACACATCGGGGACTTCTATGGGGGTCTGAGGGCATGCCCCCCAGAAATTTTTTGAAAATTATAAGCTCTGAGATGCAATCTAGAGCCATTTCAGAGTACTCCAATAGCTTACAACTAGCAACACTTTTTGGTGGAAAAGGAAAAAATTATGTAAAATTTACCTACAGTAAAATTTTGATGGGCACTGGGGAATTCCGTCTGTGTTGAGTGTGTCCAATGTAAATGTATTTTGTAGACATACAAGCTCTTATGTAGGGAAGCTTTTATTTAGCTACACCCTGTATAAAATGTATATAGTTTTTCCAAACGTTAAAAACAATATGACACGGTTAAACCTGAGTGGTGCGACGAGGCTGTACTGCTGTTTGCATGACTAGTAAAGTAATACCACACGACGTGCTTTGCAGCTACAGTGACTTATGTGTGTTAAAACTTGAGACAATTATTATTATTTACTGTATAATTCAACATGATATATTACCTAAATCTTCTTAATATTATTTTAAAACAGTATATACTGATCGTTTGTTAACTACCAGTGATACTTTATTGTTTACATCCAAACGTGAAATGCGCGGGGATGTGAGAATTACTCCACAACCTAGCGCACGTGAACAGTGAGCGTGCTGCACGACCCGTGCACGTAAATAAACCCTGGCCAACACAATGTAGGGTTCACTACCACTGGCCAAAAGTAAGCTCCACCCACTTCTTATCGATTTTTGGTATGCCAACGCTGCTACTGGATTCAGGAACCTGTGCTAACCTGTGCGTCCGAACATCCCACGCACGTTTCTTGAATGCCAACTAAAGTTGATTGCAGTGGGCAGTCAATAATATGCAGTGGGCGAACGCATTGTTTACATGTATGTCACGGTTTATCACGGATTAGTTTTCAAATAAATACCCCTGGAAATTAATATGCATGAACAGATTTCTACAGGTAACAGTTTCTCAGTGTTTCGAGTTTTCGGTGATCAAATAGCTGTAGGATCAGCGGGCCTGTTGTATCAAGAAGCTGTAGGCCCGGCATCGAAACTGTCGGCGGCGGGCCGAGGGGCCGACGTGAATTTCGAACACTGAATGCCATGCATTAATGCCTGCAGTGCATTAATGCCACGAGTCGCTGTAATTTTGACGCTGAACACAGAACACAACGTTTGATCATTCGTCACCGCAGTGTGTTTTAACCTTAAGTTATGACTTATGTATTGTTTAGCCTTTAAGGCCAAGACACACTGCAGCGACAGCGACCGACCGTAACAACAAACGACTTTTCAGAAAATTAGAAACTATCGTTTCCTATGAGCCATTGCACACACACGCGACAACGACCGGCGACAACCTCGACAACAAAAATATTTAGGAACGTTTCTAATCTACATGATCTACAGCGACAGTCGCGAGCGACACTTTACAAATAGCCAATCGCAGTCGTTTTCATCGGCACGTGACATAATGATTACGTCATAAATAACCCATAATGCTAGCCAAGACGTAGACTGGTCTCCAGCACTAATTAAACTCGCACCGCATGTCACAAACAATGGGGCTGCGAACCAGTCTAACCAAAGCGTGAAAGCTGTGGCAAGCTAGACACAGTACGTACAGTACATGATAATTTGCTGCGTATATTTTACTTTATTATCTTATCCTTATACCTAGAGAGTTTTTGCAGCCTGTTATTTAAAAGCAGCAGCATGAGTTTTTGCCGTTTGTTCATGTGCTGATGTGTACCACTGTGGTGAGTGCTGGGTGAACTTTGACCTAACGTCGGTCGCTGTCGCTGCAGTGTGTTTGCGCCAGTCGCCGCGACTTTTGTCGTTTGTCGTTTACTCGTTACGGTCGGTCGCTGTCGCTGCAGACTGCAGTGTGTCTTGACCTTTACTCTTTAGATTGACTTAGTCCGCAAATGCAGACGTAAACTCCGCTTTGCTAATCTGAGGGTGCGGGTTTATACCCATTACTGGGGTCTGCGTCGGCTCGGACTAAATCTCTAAGATTGACTGAGCTCATGATTTGATCAATGACAATGCCAATGGAGTTGTGCAGGAATCAATTAACAACATGATAAAGATACGATTAATGATGTTTATTTATGTCTCATCAATTCTATAAAACTTTGATGGTTACTGGTGCATAACTATTCTCATAGGTGGGCAAACACGGTGTGACACTGCCACCAACCTGTTCCTGTGGCTGTGTTTGTGACAGATTCGATGTGGCTGCAATGCCAATACTGGCAATAGACGGATCGTCAACATAGGACTTAAATGACGTTCTGTTTCGCTTCTTTTTCTCTAATAAATAATGTACGGGATTCATAATTGTGGTCCAGATAGGTTAAACTAAAATACTCTTCACTAAAATAGCAGACCACATAAACAAAAACGGTTCTTCATTCACGTAAATAACTATGATGGGAGTCGCCATTAAATGATCCAAATAGTTGCGGCTACGCGGTAACTAAAACCAGCCGCCATCTAAAGCATCCGCTTACACTATTTCTGACAAAAACTCGTCAAGACTCGTTAGGGCACTAACACCTCGTTAGGTCACCGCACTAACACGAAAGGTATGTAGTATACTAAATTACTAATTAAAGATTTTATTACACTTTATTGAATTTAGAAATATTTCAGTTAGGAGGCAGTGCCCGACTTAAATTTGACGTGCCTCATAGCCATAGGCTACTACTGTAGTATTGTACTAGGGCCAACTGTACGGGGTGCGTGATTTTTTTTCCTAGGTCAATCAAGAACATAAACGCTGCCATTGGTTACAAATCAATATACAAATCACGTGCCTCAAACTCCTGTTTTATGGTGCATTGTAACCCTAACCCTAACCCTAACCCTAATCCTAACCCAATTTAAAAATATATATAAAAAATAAATTTTTAATTGTTGTAAAAATGAATTGTTGTTATTAAATTGTTGTAAATAAATCATGTAAATATTTGCGTTAATTAGAAAAAAATTGTTAAATGGATAAAGATAGAAAAAATACAGAAAACAGGAAAATAATTCAAAACATATGGGATTCGATCCACTGCCCTTTCACCCTTGAGTTTCGTGCGTATTCGCTCGGCTACTAGGGTTATTCGAATTACATATTTTGGATGTGCTATGAATATGACGAGACTGTGACGTCATTGAGCGACGAAACAATCTCAACCATTAGCAGCGCTCACTAGAGCCCTATATGTTCTTGATTGACCTAGGAGAAAAAATCACGCGTACGGCGTACATATAAAAAGCGCCCGGTGTAGCGCGAAATTTCTGACTTGCGAAATATCTGAGATAGCCCTGCTCCTCGAGCCTATGCGCACGCGCACTGCGCGTGCGTCCCGACCCGACTCATCACAGCAGAGCATCACAGCTCGTCTTTGTGTGCGAAATTTCTGATCTGCGAAATATATGATATAGGATTCGTATGCGCATGCGCACTTCGCATATATGCTCAAATATGGCGATTTCCACTTCAGCTAAGACACCAGCTGGTGGAGAAGGAGGAGGGGAGAAGCGATGGGATGAAGGAGGGAGGGGCGAGAAGGGGAAGCTGATAGAGAAGAGGGGGAGAAGCTGGTGGAGAAAGGAGGAGGGGAAGCTGATGGTAGAAGGAGGAGGGGAGAAGGGAGAAGCTGGGTGGAAGAAGGAGGGGGAGAAGCTGGTGGAGAAGGAGGTAAGGGAGAAGGTGAGAAGCTGGTAGAGAAGGAAGTGCGAGAAAGTGAGAAGGTGGTGGAGAAAGGAGAGGGGAGAAGCTTGTGGACGAAAGGAGGAGGGGGGAACGAAGCTGGTGGAACGGAAGTGAGCGAGGGGGAGAAAAGGAGGGAGGAGAAGAGAGAAAGCCTGGTGGCGAGGGAGGAAGGGGAGAAGCTGTGGAGAAGGAGGGGGGAGGGGAGAAAAGTAGAAGCTGGTGGAGAACGGAAAAGGGGGAGAAGTTGGTGGAGAAGGAGGGGATGAAGGGAGAAGCTGGTGGAGGAGGAGAGGGGAGAAGGGAGAGGTGGTGGAGGAGGGAGGAGGCAGGAGAAGGCTGGTGGAGGAGGAGGGAGGGGAGAAGCTGGTGAGGAAGGAGGAAGGGAGCAGGGAGGGAGAAGGGAGCTGGTGAGGAGGAGGGGAGAAGGAGAAGCTTGGTGGAATAAGGAGGAGGGGAAGAAGCTCGGTGGAAGAAGGAGGAGAGGGAGAAGGGGAAGCTGGTGAAGAGGGAAGAGGGGGAACTGGTTAGGAGAAGGAGAGGTGGAGAAGGGAGAAGCTGGTGGGAAGAAGGAGACGAGAAGTTGGTGGAGAAGGAGGAGGGGAGAAGCTGGAGGAAGGACGAGGAGAAGAAGAGCGGGTCTCCTTCCGAGAATACTGCTCTCTCTCTCTCTCTCTCTTCTCTGCATCTCTCTCATCTCTCTCTCTTTCTCTTTGCTCTCTCTCTCGGGGCTCTCTCTCTCTCTCTCTCTCTCGCTCGTGGGATGGCGCCACGATGTTGTGTATAGAAATATTTGGTGCAATTGAGATCGCTGCTGAAGGTAATGAACTACTGGCCCTATATTTCATATTTTTAGGGCTGGGGCAATGGACCAAGTAAATGGCGATTATGTCAAATAACAAAATTAAAGCCAAAATAATATGGACTTAAATTGTCGAAAATTAGGTCTAGATGTGGTGATATATTCATGCGCGTGTGCGGCGTGTGTGCGCGCGTCCCTGCGTGCGTGTGTGCGCCCACCCGTGCGTGCGAGCATGAGTAACAGTAGACCACATGTGGTGCGGATTTGCAAGCATTCTAACATTAAAAATTCGAACAGTATTTCTAAAAACAAAATCTACAGCCAAGCCCCTCAAACTTATGTAGGCCTACATGTTTAATATATCATGTATTGCGTAAAATATTAGAACCTAATCCCAGAGCCCTTTGTTTAACTTACAAACGTATATTTTCATGTATAGAAATGTGGGAAATTATTGATGAGAAAAACCTCTCCGAATTACAGCTGTACATATAGGTCAAATGTTGGGCCATGCGGTAATGTCAAAATACATACAATATTGGTTATTATATACATTTATACTTGTAAACGAAACCACGATATTTTGTTCTATAACTATCTTTATTAAAGCAAAAACGTCTACAAAATTGCTAACGTACACGCTAATGAAACTGCACATATATTTTGCAACAAACCATAATAACCTGTTACAAAATAATTTTTCCACAACGGAAAGTTACTGAATATATTCGCGTGGTGTTATTGTTCAATACGATGTGCTATATATTGAGCCGCTATAGATAATAGACCATAATAGATATGATAATTCCAGAGTAATTGCAGCAATATTAAATAAATATAACGTTGCTCATCCAAAAGCTAATGACGTCACACTCGCGAATGTTGAAATTTTTGCTAACGAACGTTAGCAATCGACGTTGCGGAATATATGACTGTCGAAGCCCGCGTTGTTGATGCTTATGCAGAACTGAATGATTTGTGATAAACGTCTATTTCAGTAGCATATACATATGTGTGTGGTTGCACACAGATAAAGCCGGATAAATAAGCATTTGATAAATAAGGCAGCAAAACCAGATAGGTCTCACGAGTTGTAACAAAGCTCACGTATTAGGGTACCTTGGTGAACCTCTAAGGTCTTTAAATTCCCGCCTACATAATATGTCGTACGGCGTTTTAGCATTAAGATAGAGACATGGGGAAATCCGACACATTACCCAGGCAACGGTTCGGGCGATGAACTCAAAAGCCATTAGCTACATAATTAAGAACACCCGTAATTCAGAATGGACAGGCCACAGGGGCAGTACCGAAGGGTACGAAGCACATTAACATCAACAAGAATGCGGAGGGCTGTAACAAACAAACGATTATGTAAGCCCCGGTCACAAGGAATCGTACGAAATTTTGTCGTGGTGGACCCATAAAATATTTGTCGTGGCCAGATCTTGCAACATGCCCGAAATGTATTTCGAGTGTTCACAAGGGCTACGATGCATCAAAGATGGTTTGGCGATGGGGACGCGACAGAAAAAAAAGAAGATATGTCGTGGTTATGTCGTGGGTGTGTCGCAAGTCAGTCGCAAGTCAGTCGTGAGTTGTCGGGCATTGTCGGGGGGCTGTTTTTCACGTGAACAGGTCGTGGTTCCCTCGTGGGATGCACGTGCTACATTCGTGCGACTGGCGCACAACAGTCGTGGGTCATTCGTGGGTCACTCGTGAGTCACTCGTGAGTCACTCGTGGGTCACTCGTGGGTCACTCGCGTGTCCGTCTCCCGACTATATAACGAGGCCCGGGCTGTTGCCTGCCATTTGCTGCAGAGATTTTCCAGTGGATACACAGACCCCATAGCTTGCACGCTGGCTTGCAACCGACTACATTACCGGCTAACCACTGCGTCGCCATGCACAATGACAATCAAAACGACCCTAAGCACATTCTCGTGACGCTGACCATCTTACTAGCTCCAGCTGTAATGAATAATTGCTGAAGTTTAACGAGTAAAGGTACACGGCCAACAAACCTTAACACCGCCTACCGAGCATAAATTTCGGATAGCTTGATACTACGAGTGAACCACCGACCCTAATGCTAACCCTAACCCTAACCCTAACCCTAACCCTAACCATTAACTCTAACAATTAAACGCAACCGTAACCCTAACCCTAACTATTAACCCTAACCATTAACCCTACCCTGCCGGGGCCGCGGTCAGTATTAGCCTTAGGTAAGCATTACAAATTAATATTCATTCGAAATTTCATTTGAAGGGCAACACCTTGCCGTTTACAAATGCCCTTCTCTAATGTATAGAATTTTGGGGTTCTCGGCGCGTTTTTTTTCTGGAAGCCAATACTATTCAGTGGATGTGTTTAAAAGGGAGAGGTGCACGCACGTAGTGACGTAGTAGATGTGCATTACATATCCTGAATTTTGAATGCGTCCAAAGTCTTCCCCACAAAAAAATAAAATAAAAAGTATAGGCACTACAATAAATCCTGGATCCAGATCTGGATCGGAATCACCACCAAAATCTAATCGATTGGTTGTTGGCCCAAGACCAACCCGTCCAAAAAAATTCATAAAAATCCGTCCGTAATTTTTTGAGATATCCTGTTGACAGACAACAAACAAACAAACAAACAAACTAACAGGGGCGAAAACATAAACCTCCTTGGCGGAGGTAATAAGAGAGAGCCAAATCTACGTTGCCGTTGGTCGGCGCTATTGTCGCGTATGGGAAGTATAGTGTAGGACGATGAACGAAATGTGTTCATATGTAATTTTGTTGAAATTATATACCTGTAGGGTGCACTGTGCACATACTCGAGAGTAGTTGTGCAGTAGACATCTATAATAGAATGTCAGTAGTAGACACGAAAAATGTTAGCCCGAATGACTCATTTCAGTAATTATTGGTCGGCAATGTTCCGAACCTTCGTAAAACGTAAAACGTGTGATAGATTATAGGGTTAG